TCTGTTTATTTGAACAGTTGTGTCGTCTGCAGCTTTAAATGCTCGAGCTCATTACAGCAGGGTGAATTCTGATCGGATTCATGTCATGATTTGTGTTCAGATATTCTACAGATCATCTCTGATTCCTTTCAAAGTGGAAATGTTGCAACTTCCCATGTTTTGTCCATGAGGATCCCACCTTCTCGTGTCTGGAGATGCTGACGAAAGGCACTTGCTCTCGTTCTGAGCTCTGGTTCCTCCTCGTCATCTCCTCAATGGGTCCTCTCATCTCTATACAAAAACCAGATTAGATTCTCTGATGATGTCACACTGGGAAACTGGTCAGTGGGCTGTGGGACAGCGTGTCGTACCTCTGGGAACAGACACGTGATGTGTCCTTCCTACGGCCTGCCAGTGGGCGTACATTCGGTCCTGCTCCCCGTCATCCATTGGTTCAGAGCTGTCTGTGATGTCATCATCCACCTGCTCATCATCAAGTCCGTCAAGATCCTCAATAGAGATCAGAGCCATTGTCCAAAATGGCACAGCGAGCGACTGCGAATCGGGAAGCTCTGAAGACGGAAAACAAACTCAGATTCTCTCATATGAAGGGAGGGATATTGGTTTCAATATTAAATCATCAATCTGCCAGTGTTGACTTGCTCTTGATGTATATACACACACACACACACACACACACACACACATATAGGCCTACATCCATACATCCATAGGCCCATACATATAATAATACGCTTTTCTCTTTCCATTACTGTTAAACTATCATCGCTGAGGCGGTATATGTTATGTTATGTTATGTTATGCTTTGTATTTTATCCTTGTGTTTTTTTAGTTATTTTGTTAGCACATTGGTCAACTCTGGTTTTAGTAAATAGTGCTATAAATAAAATTGCCATTGTCACTAGCATATCATGTTGGTGGTTTAGAAATCATGTTTTAATAAAAACATTAGCAATATCAGAGTTTAAACGACCAGCAATCAATCGTTGAAACAGAAAGCACAAATACGAAATAAACAAAGACGGCTGAGGTTTCATTCACATGCATAAAAACACAAGTGTGAGACGACTGTCGGGTAAATGACACTGAGATGTGCAACAGATGGACGACAAACTGGGAAAAACGCGACCCTCCCCTTACAATTGTTGAATGCACTTTGTTCATTAATTTAGCACCCAGCTTGCCCAGTAGGCGGAAATGTAAACATTATTTTAAAAACAATGACGCCCGGTGCAAATATCACACACACGTCAAACATTTCCGATATATCAAACCGATGGTGTGTGTTGTAGTCTAATATTTACCTCAACGTATTATAACGATAATAAAGAATGACCTACTTACCCAGCAGACACAACAAGCGCACGACAGCTCAAGCGCTGGGGATTGCAGAGCGCCTCACTGCGCATGCGCGGAGGAGGGTCCAGTCGAGCGCTGCTCTCATGTTTGCAAACACCATTTTCTACTTCCATTTTCACGTGTTCCTACCTATGGTTCCTACTGTAGCCTACTGGGTCTTCTGTGGGATAGGCCACACAGGAGGGACCATACAGGTCCAGCTAAACTAGCCCAATGGAAAATAGGCCCTTGACCACATCCCAAATCAATAAAAAATACATATTTTGCAGTCAATGTTATATAAAAAGAAAACCACTATTGTAGTGATCATAAACAGCTCAAAGGCTCTCTACCAGTGGCACCTACGTCAAACAAATTAAAGGGATAGTAGACCCAAAATTAAAATCCTGTCATTAATTTTAGCTACTCACCCGATCATGTCGCTCCTACGGAAGCGTAATTAGGAAGCAAAATCGACTCTTTTTCTGAATAACAAGTTAATTTCTCAGAATTACGAGGATTTTTCATGGAAAAAAGTTTTAGCTCTGTTTTGTGAATTAATGACTTGATTATCTCAAAAATTAGGAGTACATTAATTCATAAAACAAGAGCGATTTTTAAAGAAAAATATATCTCATAATTCTGAGATAATTAACTTGTTATTTCAGAAAAACAGAGCAAAAACTTTTTTCCATGAAAAATGATCTTGTAATTCTGACATAATTAACTTGTTAATTCAGAAAAACAGAGCAAAAACTTTTTTTTCCAAGAAAAATGATCTTGTAATTCTGAATTAACTGGTTTATTCAGAAAAACAGAGTCGATTTTGTTTCCTCGAGTTAATGCAATACGCTTGCGTACACTCCAAACCTGTAACACTTCTGTTCATCTTCAGAACACAAATGAAGATATTTTAATGAAATCTGCAAGATTTCTGTCCCTCTGTTGACACAGCTATGCAACTAAAAATCATAGAGATCGTAAAACTAATCCATATTCATTGAGCGGTTTAGTCCAAATTTTCTAAAAAAAGGCTAGATCCCTTTATTTGATGAACAAATTGAATTTAATCTTTTATTCATATTATCAACTCACACATCAGTTGTGGTAAACGGAAGACATTAAGAGAGAGAGAGAGAGAGAGAGAGAGGGGGGGGGGCGCTGTGGAGGTGCTGTGCATCTCTCTCTCTCTGAATAATTAATTCAAATAAATGCGATATTCATTCATTAAACGCTTAGCGTCAGGCGTTTTTTGCCTCCACGTCGCGCATTAAAATCATTTTATGCACAGCTAGCCGTGGGTTTATGGAAAGCCAAATGGTTCACATTTCGCCACTTTCCAAACGCGTTATGGGTTACCCAGATAGCAAACTGACATTGAATCAACGTGGAAATATGACATCGAAACAACGTTGATCTGACATAGTTTTGCTCATCGAATTAACGTTGAACCAACGTCAGACGCGTCATTCTTTCAAAACTAACGGAAAATCAACTTAAAATCAACGCGTTGTTTCAACGTTATGAAAGCAAACCAATTTTCGATTTCATTTAGCTTTGAAGAATGCCGCGTCTGACGTTGGTTCAACGTTAATTCGATGAGCAAATCAACGTTGTTTCAATGTCATGAGAGACGTCGTTTCCACGTTGATTCAATGTCAGTTTGCTGTCTGGGTATCCTTTACATCGTGAATGAATCGGCGTTGAGCACTTCCGGTTCAGCCGTCCTGTTTCTCTCTTATGCTCTCCCTTTTCTTTTTAATCTGAGACGCTAAAATAAGAGGTTTCACATACTTATAACTTTATATTATCTTGCTAAAATTCAGATGTAACAAGGATATTTTCAATGTTTTTGAACAAAACAAGCGTTGACATAGCAAACTGAAATGCTCATTGCACGATTTTATTGACATTTTTTATTTCAATCAAGCCAAATCAGACAGTCGAAGCATCTAGATTTTGCCCAGCAAGCGACTCTCAATCATATTTAGATGTTTATGCAAATGAATCACATGGACACTGAAGCATGAAATGATTGGAAATAACCAAGTCCTCTTCAACAGTAAAACTGGCAGTGGAGCTCAGACGTGGTTTATAGTGCAAATAACAAACCAATAAAAGTAAGATCCATATATTCAAACTCCATATATACAGATTCCATAAATATTCAAGAATTTGCGTTTTAAATTGGAAAAAAATGACAATGTGGTTGTTTATAAAACTTGCACAGAGTACAATACGTTACATATGCAGTTACAGACACAGGCTCTGCCTATGCATTAGCACATATTCATAACATAATGAATTCGAAGTAAAACGAGTGGTGTGCATGAGTGCTGAATCAGGTCAGGAGGAACACAACACCTCTCTGGAGCTCTGCCGGAACAATGCCCACGGGGTTTCTTTGCCATGGAGGTCAGATTTCACTGCTAAATATGTGTCAAAAGATATTGAATACCTGAGAGAATAAGCCAGGTGGATTTCTGGTCTTTCCCACTAGGGTTAAAATCATTCATTACATAATTCAAATCTGTACAGACAAAGCCTCTGTTTTTAAAGCCTAAAATATCATGTTTTGCAAGGAATATTTAGGCAGTTGTCATAGATTTTAAGAAAGTTTAAAGGGTTAATTTACCCAAAAATTACATTTCATTCAGCTTCATCGAGGGCTGAGTGGTATTACCATGCGTATCTTGGCAGTAATAAAGTAATATGAAGTGCCTATCAATTATGGAAGGTTCACTGTAAAAATGAATGCGCTTTATATCTAATCAATAAAATTGTGGCAGCATATTACAAACAATAATATTAATTAAATTGAACAAATTAGAATTGAGTAATACTTAATCAAATTATTCCTTAAAAGTTAACCATTTAAAATGAGTAAAGTTAACACCAAAAAATGTAACAAAAATATGAATAACAGACAGACGTCAAAGATTAATTAAGAACACCAATCAGCATAACGGTGACTTGAATGTACGTTTTTTTTTTGTTCGTTTTACTCATTTTAAATGGTTAACTTTAAAGGAATTAATTTGATTAATTATTACTCAATTCTATTGTTAAATTGAATTAATAATATTGCTTGTAATCTGTTGCCACAATTTTTTTGATTAGATAAAGCGCATTCATTTTTACAGTGTTGTTTTTGCCATGAAATAAAAAAAGGGTATTGTGACTTTATCACTCTATATTGACTTTTTTCTTACAATTGCGAATTTACAGTATATCTCACAGTTAAGTCTCAATTTGCAGGATATAAACTCGCAATTTCACAATTTTCTAAAGTAAGAATTGTGATATAAACGCACAATTGCAAGAAAAAAAGTAAAAATTGTGAGACGTAAACTCGTAAATGTGAGAAAAGTCAGAATAACATGCAAATGCAAGAAAAAAGTCTGAATTGTGAGATATAAAATCGTAATTGCAAATAATTGGAATTGTGATATAAACTCACAATTGCAAAATGCAAAAGTCTACGAATTCAAAATTCTGAATTTCAAGATGTAAACTAGTAATTGCGAGAAAAAAGTCTGAATTCTGAGGCATAAACTTGTAATTGCTAGAAAAAAACGTAAATTGTGATAAAATTGTGATAAAAACCGTAATTGTGATAAAAAATGAAAATTGTGAGAATTTTTTTAAAAAAAATCTCTCGCAATTCCAAGAATAAAGTAAGAATTGTGATATTAACACGCAAAAACTCCAAATTGTGAGATGTAAACTCGTAAATGTGAGAAAAGTCCGAATAGTGATATAAACATGCAATTGCAAGAAAAAAGTCTGAATTGCGAGATATAAACGCGTAATTGCGAGAAAAAAGTCAGAATTCTGAGGCATAAACTTGTAATTGCTAGAAAAATGTCAGATTTGTTATGTAAACTTACAATTGTGAGATTTTTTTTTAATTGCAAGATATAAACTCACAATTCTGACTCGTAATTCCAAGAATAAAGAATTGTGATATAAACATGCAATTGCAAGAAAAAAGTCTGAATTGCGAGATATAAACACGTAATTGCGAGAGAAAAATCAGAATTCTGAGGCATAAACATGTAATTGCTAGAAAAATGTCCGATTTGTGATAAAAACGTACAATTGTGAGAATTTTTTTTAAATTGCAAGATATAAACTCGCAATTCTGACTCGCAATTCCAAGAATAAAGTAAGAATTGTGATTTAAACATGCAATTGCAAGAAAAAAGTCTAAATTGTGAGATGTAAACTCGTAATTGCAAAAAATTGGAGTTGTGATATAAACTCACAATTGCAAAAGGCAAAAGTCTACAAATTCAAAAGTCTGAATTTCAACATATAAACTAGTAATTGCGAGAAAAAAGTCTGAATTCTAAGGCATAAACTTGTAATTGCTAGAAAAATGTCAGATGTGATATAAACTTACAATTGTGAGAATTGCAAGACATGAACTCGCGAAAGAAAAGTCACAATAGTGATTTAACCTTGCAATTACCAAAACAAATCTTGAATTTTGAGATATAAACTCCTAATTGTGAGAAAAAGTCAGAATTGTGAGATTTAATTTCATAACTTCATTCTATATTTAATTCATACAAACTTTGCAGTGTTTTATTTTTTACATTTGATTATTCAATTTCTGCGGCATGTTGTACCTGAATACTACCGATAGACCCAAAGCACAGTTTATTTCATTTGGGCCATTGTCACGATGCAAAAAGGCACCATAAGAGTAGTGCAATATTGTGATTAAGTCTGGTTCCACACATATTGACTGGATTTTGGAGACGGAGAGATTATTGGTGAAGGTCTTCACCCACAGGGAAGACATGCAGTTTTGACTCTAGTGCTCAAGATTTATAGGCTACTTTAATGGACTTTTTAAGAGTTTGGCAGCACTCATCTCCATTCACTTACACTGTATGGAAAATAGCTGTGTGATCAGAGACACAGTTGTGGTCCACATGAGAGTGAGCATAACGAGTTTTCATTTAAGGATGGACTGCTGCTGAAACATGCATGATTTATAAGAGTGTGTGAGAGAATGCTGAAAACATCAGCACATGAACCAAAGCTTCCAACATATACAAATCTAGTGCTAAAGAGCCAGAAGACGCATGTATTTTTCATGAGTCTGTGCTTTTGTAGAGCTCCACTGTGCTTGAGCTGAGAGGTCTGCTGTTTCTCAGCGTCCTCACGGCCCCCGAACCCTGTGACGAGACAACCAACAGATCATCTCACACACGGATCTCATGCAAAACTCAACGGTGTTACGAGCTGCCGGTTTCGTGTTTTGTGCAATCATATAAAAACGAATAATTGTTATCAATAAAGATAAGCATGAAGGTCCAGATTGTACGAATTCAAGCAAATTAGCCACCGAAAATAAAAAATATTATGGATTGCTAATACGCTACTTAAGCTAATGTTCTGCTAATGCCTGGTTCAGATTACACGATTTTAGCCCGATTTTGGCACGATCCGTTTGACGTAGGGTGTCATGGGGATTCGTAAACGACAACGGGCGTCGGGACGCAAGATTTGATCGAATCATCTCATATAGTTTGTCATAGTGGGCGACAACCTACGTCGAGTATGCGATGCTTCACGACATCACGACAAAAAGACTAGCATGTTTAATTTCTTTAACGGTCGTCCATGGCGGTTCCGTCACATGTATGAGGTCGACCAATAGGAGCACAGAAGCTTTTCCGTTCACAACTTTCAAAAATGACGAAACGAAAAAGAGACGATGGTGCTAACGTTAAAACTAAAAGTAAAAATAAATAAGAAAACAATATTTTACCTCAAGTTCTCGTTAAGGATTGACAGCCTCTTCGAGCAATCCAGGAACGTGTCCATTGACGGGTTTTCTTTCTTTCTTTACTTTTTTCTGAACACAGGACAGCCAATACAACACTCACCGCTTCATCCATTGTTTGTTTACGTTCGTTTCCGGAAGTCACTCGCTACTAGTTTCGCCTTCTCGATGACATCATACGCGCCGTTAAAGACGGCATGCGATGACTGGTCAGGAAGCAACGTGTAGTCTGACATGTGTCTTGTCCACGACACGTCAAGATTTTAGGAGTCAAAATCACGAAATCGTAACAGACAAAAAAATTGTGTAATCTGAACCAGCCATAAGATTCCCTCACGTTTCTGAACAAGCGTTCGTCCAGTAATGTTAATAGAACATTCGTCTTTAATAATGTTCTCAAAACGTTAGCTCAAAACGTTACGCTTAGCATATTTTTTCTGAAATGTTTTAGTAATGTTTTTTAAATGTTACTACTTGTTTCAGGTCGTTCAGAGAACATTCAAAAGTAACGTTCCCATAATGTTCGAAGAATGATCCTGTGGAAGTCTCCTTAAAGGTGCAGTGTGTAATATTGACAGCTAGTGGTTGAAATAGGTACTGCAGTCAAAATACGCAATATCCTTCCTCCTCAGACTCGATGCCTACAGGGTTGCCAGATTGAAGACTCGCAACAGGAGCAAGTGGCAACAGGACAGGTCTTGCACTAGAAGTTGACGAGTTGATTTATCCCTGTTTTAAAAGAGTAGTTCACTTTTAAAAACTTTTGCTGATAATTTACTCACCCCCATGTCATCCAAGATGTCCAAGATGTCCGTTGTAACCAAACGGTTCAAGGTCCAAAAGTTAGTTTCAGTGCAAACTGTTCAAAGGGCTTTAAACGATTCCAGACGATGAATAAGGGTCTTATCAAGCGAAACGATCGCTCATTTAATAAATAAATAACAAAGTTTAAGTTTTATAAGTTCAAATGCTCGCCTTGCTCTGTTCTGTGATGCACGTTCGTGACTCTCCTGTTCGAACTCGTTCATCAAAATGAACAAATCTTTTTTTGAGTCATTTGGTTGATTCAACGAACAAAATGAACAAATTGACTTGGAAAAAGATTTGTTCATTTTGATGAACAAGTTCAAACAGGAGAGTCACACAGAACAGAGCAAGGCGAGCATTTGAGCTTATAAAACTTAAACTTTGTTATTTATTTATTAAATGAGCGATCGTTTCGACTTGATAAGACCCTTATTCATCGCCTGGAATCGTTTAAAGCCCTTTAAACAGTTTACACTGTTACTATCTTTTGGACCTTGAACAGTTTGGTGGTTACCAGTAAATTGCATTATATAGAGAAAAATCCTGGAATGTTTTCATCAAAAACCTTAATTTCTTTTCGACTGAAGAAAGAATGACATGGACATCTTGGATGACATGGTAAATTATCAACAAAAGTTTTTTTAAAAGTGAACTACTCCTTTAATATGCCGTATTTAAGCGTAGAATATGCGATCCTGACCGAGTTTTTTCACTGGCTTCCATGGCTGCAATATGCTGTGTGTTTTCAAGTATGCTCATTCATATTTCCTAAACCTTTACAAACATATCACTGTCTTTATGTGCTTTAGTACAGTCACACACAAAAAAAAATACATACTGCACCTTTAAAGTTCACATAAACGAGACAAAAATTTTTTTAAAAACATTTGGATGTTTTGAACATTCGGAGAACATTCGGAAATAAAGTTTTCGTAACTTAATGGGAACGTTAGCTAGCCGTTCTTAGATCATATTTAATGTTGCCTGACATCCTTAAATTATCTCACCTGGAAAGAGTCGTCTTCATCTCCATTACTGTTCAGGTAGCCGAGGGACGCGGCTCTCTTCATACTGTGTGGGAAGACAAATAACTCATTTGTTGCATTTACATAACGTACATAGGCGTTCACAACCCTTCATAGGCATCAGGCAATGTAACAATCATTAATCCCTGTGTTAGTGTGTCTTACTTTGAGTTGCGAGGTTCTGGTGGCATCGTTCCCTGGATCTTCTTCACCAGCATCTCGCTGCTTCTGCGCAGGACTTCCCTGAGTTTCCCGAAAGAGCCGCTTCTCCTGAGAGACCCATCCTGAACACACACACAGTCTCACCTTATAACCTCTGTTATATTTTGGATGAAAACAAGCATGGAGGTTTTTCCCTGTTTTTTTTCATGGAATATTGCAGTGTTTATTATCGATTTATCGATTCGCACATCATTCTTTTTCTAATCTTGAATCAGAGTAACTTCTTCTTGCAGCATCTCTTCTCTTCTCTGATGACGAGGGCGGGGCTATAACCTGTCAATCACATGAGATCAGCCAATAGCAAACCACGGCCATCCAATCAGCTCCACACAGACACAGTCAAGCCCCGCCCACATCTGGACATTTTTTGGTGATGTGAAGATTGAAATTTTGCCAACAGAACACACTTATTATTGTGTTTTACCAGACCAACAAAGACAAAAAAAAAAAAACATTGGTATGACAAACACATTGTGTAAAGATTTGATGATAATGATGCCAAGTTGCTTCTTATTTATTTATTTTTGGACAGGAAATGGAATTGATTATGGTGTTGACCACTCTCTAAAACACACTAGTATTTGTGTAATTTCCATAAAGCTCAGATACTATCATGTTGATCCTCGTCAATAGATGGCAGTGCAGCGTCTAACACCTACAGTTACACGAAGAATAGCAATGCTAACATTAGCTAAAGAAATACTGAATGCACTGAGAAACACCGGGCCTGTCCAAATACCAACACTTGCGGTTTTTGCGTTCGACCACTTGACTACTTATATTATATGACGTTTATCCGGAGCTTGGCCAAAGAGTGCGTGAAGACAGCAAGTGTTTTAAGATTTATTGTCTGCCTGATCACTTAATCACTTCCTGATAGTGGTGCTTCATTTTCAAATGTTAAACAAACTATATACTGTATATTCTCTGCACCAGTAACATGTGTGAGTGGACACACCTCCTACTGCTGATTGGCTCACTCTCTTCTCCCATTATGAGTGGACTCACCCCCTACTACTGATTGTCTCTCTCTCTTCTCCCCATCATGAGTGGACACCCCCCTACTGCTGATTGGCTCTCTCTCTTCTCCCCCATCATGAGTGGAC